AAGAAGAGGTCTACACCCAATCCTCTCTCTTTAATTCAATGCAAAGAGAACTTCGTTCTCTTATTAAAGATGTTTTTGGTTTTGAATGGTAAGTGCTTTGCGACAAAGAACCCTACGGTAAACGTCAGCACTCGGGATAGGAGAAGGCCTACGCCTAACCACTCCACGACCATTCAAGTTTATTGTTATGAAAAGATTTGAAAATGCACTCGGTATAAGACCGAGGTTTTAGGTGTGAAAAGGTCTCGGGAAAGGGTTGTGAAAGGAGAGGTGGTGGATGGAGTCGCGTCTTCGTATTGAAAGACGAGTATCGAGACCACCCTCACTACAGTGGGCATCCCATCACTCGGAGAAGAAGAGGTCTATACCCAATCCGCTCTTTTTAATTCAATACGAAGAGAATTTAATTTATTATTGAAAGTATACTCAGTACAAGACCGAGGTTTTATGAGGAAATGTTGGAAGCGTCTTTGTATTGACAGACGAGCATCGAGACCACCCTCACTACAGTAGGCATCCCTACGCTCGAAGAAGAAGGGGTCTACACCCAATCCTCTTTTTAGCTCAACACAAAGAAATGATTTTAAGGAGATGAGATTTAAAAATGGACGGGAAGCGTCTTCGTATTGAAAGACGAGTGTCAGAACCACCCTCACTACAGTGGGCATCCCATCACTCGGAGAGGAAGAAAGTCTACACTTAATCCCCTCTTTTTAATTCAATACAAAGATAATTTGATTTTTGAAAATTGTTTGACAAAGTTTTTGAATCGAGTCGGGACAGGTGACGAAGAGAGAAAGGAAGTGGTCTCAGATCCAACATTCTTTATCAATAATTTGACTGGTAATGAATTACGGAGGTCTCGTCATCGACCAAAAAAGAGGAAGTGCAATAAAATGTCCAATGAAAAATAAAATTTATCCTCGAAAAAAACATAAACTTCTAAGAAAAATATGTAAAAGCTTTTAAAGGAAATATTAAAAAAAACCTAAAATATAGTATGTTTTACAAAATAAAAGTCTGTTAAAGAAAACAAAATATAATATATATAATAACCAGAAGTAAATACATTATTAATTAAGAAAATGAAAAGAAACAAGAAGAAAAAAAAGATAATGAAACAGGGGATGCGGATCCACACGGGTGTGTGAATCAAATATTCATGGGCCTAAGCCCATTCACCCCCGTTGGAATATGATATCCAAGAACACACATGGTGGTAATAAAAAAAGATCCAGTCCAAAACCCTACGGTACAAACCAAACAAAGAACCAAACGAAAGTGCCAATAAACTGAAGCTTTGATCACCAACAATAATGTCAGGTCCGAACAAAATGAGCAAAACGGCGGAAAGAAATCAGAACACCATTCTTTAATCCAATCTCTCCCCTTTTTAGGTCCACTTCTTCTTCATCTCATTCTATGTTTTGATTTCGAATGAGTTTGCTGCAATTTGTTGTTGGTTAAAGGTAAGGTGGATGAAGATATGGTTGAGGTTTTTGGATGGGGTATTGTTGTGGTTCTGAATTTCGTTTATTCTGAGCTTAAGCTATTTCTCTTCTCCAGTTTCTATATTTCTGGGTCGGATTCGGTTACGCCGTTATGGGTTTTGAAAGTGGGTAAGGGTTTGATTGGTGTCTGGTTGATGGTTTCGTCGAATGAATGGTTTTGGTGTTTTAAAAATGGGTGTTGTGAGATGTTTGGAAGTGGTTCGTGTTTGACTTAGCTGTTGTTGAGGGAATGATGGTTTGAGCAGTGGTTCGAGGGAAGTGGTGAGCGCGTTGACGGAAAAACGAAACAGGTTTGAGGGGTTGATTTTTAAGACTACCCACAAAATGAAAGGTTTCGGCGAAAGATTCTGGGATGGGTTTTGAGTTGGTTCGACGAAGGAGGTAGATGGTGTTGGCTATGGATTTCGCGACTGAGGGGTAGAAGATGTGTTTGAAAGATTTGGTGTTCTGGTCGTAAATGTTTGAAAGGGTAGTTTTGAACTGGGTTTGTGGTATCTGATGTTTGGTGGTTTGAAGATGACGAAGTTCGATGGAGGGTGATGATAGTTGATGTTGGTGAGATGGAGTGAAGGTTTGAGTGGTTATGTGAAGTTCGGTTATGGAGGTAGTTTCGTGAGCATGGGGACTTTGGGTTAAAGATGAGGTGAGTTAAGAAGAACATTGAAGGTGTTTGAGGATTTTCTGGCAAGATTATGAAGACTATGAAGACAGGAAACAAGACAGTCCAAACAATGCAGACCAAGACTATGAAGACAGGAAGAGTAACAGAATACTTACAGAGTAGGAGCAATACCATCAGATTGTTGATACAGAGCACAGGTGAGCTCCTTCTTCAGTCTCCTCTTTTTTCAGTTCTTTTGTGATGGAGGTGAGTTGTGAGAGAAAAGCAGCCGTTTTTCTGTTAGGTCTTTTTTTGAATGAGCAGTAACCAATATATATGATGTGAGATTAGGGTTTAACTTAGAGAAATTGTGGGAACTTTGGGTCTGTTCCTCTTTGGGAAAGAAAGTGAGATACTTTTTGCAATGGGAGCAAGGGTTGAAGTTGTGGGATTGAAAACAGCATAATCTTTGTCTGTTTGTAGCTTTTGAATTTGTCTGTTTTTACTCATGCTTTTCACTGTGGTAACACAACAATTTTACTGATACATTTAATTTCTTTGCAGGTTTATCATGATCCTGGAAGTTTGCGGAAGAAGGTGTCCTTCTCAACAGCCATACCTTGCATGGGAACCTTTGTGCAGCTTCTTATTTGTCTGTTTCGCGACTCTTGAGGAGACCGCAGGCATGGTTTGTCAGCATCACAACTCACTGAAGGAATATCAGACCGATTAACATTTGATGGTTCAGAATGTTGGTCAGACTCATCATCAGCAAACCTCCTTGACAAAGGGGCCAGGCAATTCGAGAGGATAAGCTCGAATCCCATCCTTGCAACAACTTTGATTGACATGTATTCGAAATGTGGATGTCTGGAATCGGCTTTAGCTGTTTTTGATGGTATTTCTGATGAGGATGTTGGAGCTTGGAATGCGATGATTTCTGGTCTGGCTTTGAATGGTGATGCCGGGAAATCGTTGAAGTTGTTTCAACAAATGGTTGTTTGTGGAAGTCGCCCTAATGGGACTACCTTTGTGGTTATCCTTACTGCTTGTACACACGCAAGGATGGTTCAGGAAGGTCTTCAATTATTTGAAGAGATGAGTGGAACATACAGAGTTGAGCCGTGTGCGGAGCATTATGCGTGTGTTGTGGACCTTTTGTCTAGGGCTGGCATGGTAGTGGAAGCCGAGAGGTTTATTGAGGAGAAGATGGGTGAATTTGCAGCTGGCGATGCTAATGTGTGGGGTGCTATACTGAATGCGTGTAGAATTCATAAGAATATTAATGTTGGGAACAGAGTGTGGAGAAAGCTGACTGATATGGGAATAGCTGATTGTGGTACTCATGTTCTTACATATAACATATATAGAGAAGCTGGACGGGATGCAGAGGCAAACAGAGTTAGGAGTATGATTTCAGAAGCAGGGATGAAGAAGAAGCCTGGATGCAACATTATAGATGTGGGAAATGAAGTTGAAGAGTTTCTTGCTGGTGACCAGTCTCATCCACAAGCACTGGAAATGTGCAGGCTGCTTGATTCAATTCTCAAGATGGACAATTTAGAGCACATCTAGTAATGGGTGTAAAGGTAATTTTCAGTGCTAAATCATCTTATTGGTTTAGTATCATTGAAATCATTTGCAAGTGCCTATATAGTCACGAGTGTATACTAGAGTATGTCATTGCATAAAGAATTTGTAGATATTTTATACTGGATTGGCCTTCACACTTGATGCTTTCTTTTGATTTTTTTCCTGGCTGAATTAATTTTGCGCATCTATCTCTTGTTTTGCAGGTGATGGCTGGCGGTATGGTTATGCAGAGCTTGCCTGGTTTGCTTTGGTGCAGCAGGCTGGTGTGTTGAGTGCAGTAGACAGAGACGACTCTGGTGGGTTATGGTGGCAACATAATGCTGAAAAGGATCAGTAGTTTCTGTCACAGAAGGTGGCACCAGAGAAGAACGACTCATGCTATACAGCTGATCCTGGCGGAAAAATATGATTTCTTGTGTATAGAATTTTACCCTGCATGGATTACTTGAAAATATGGCATCGGGAATATACTTTTCGAGCTCCTCAGTTAAACATTTAGGTAATCTACACCTAGGAAGAACTGTTGAAGGACCTATATCACCAGGACCTGGAATAAAAAGAAATCGACTGTTCTCTTTTAACCTTGAACGAGCTGCAATAATTTTTCCTAGCCTGCCAAACTGCAACCTCAGGATCGTGAAAAGGCCTGGTGCTTGGGTATATGGCTCAGAACAGAAGTCTCCCATGAAAACAAATAAGGAAGGAACGACCTCCTCACTCTCAAATGCATCAAGAACAATCTCCAGCTTTCCCATAGCCTCTTCTTGGTCTACAAAAATATCAGACAGTATGACAAACATGTCATTGACTGCTCTTTTCTCCATCTCTTCCTGTCTGATAGCTTCTTCTTTTGTAAAAGTACCACCACCAAAAAAGTCATGGCCTGCTAGCACTTGGAGAGATTTATCTCTATCCTCTAATGGAGGAAATCCACATGAATAAATCTGAAAAATACCCTCAGCAGATACCATCTCGCCTTCAGCGACGACTATGGTATTCTCTAAGAAGAATCCCGTAGTAATCTTAGCATCAGATAAACTGATTTTAACTGAAGCGGTAAGGTCTTCCAAATAAAAATGCCCATCCTCCAGCTGAGATATTACTCCCATTACCCATTTTCTACCTTTTTGCCCAACTAGAGATTGAATAGGAGATATCTCACGATTCCTGAATTGGGAACGTTCAGACTCAAAAGCAGGTTTCGAAAAATTTGGGTCACGAGAGAGCCTCTGGGACAACAACAGAAATCTATCCCTGTACAAAGCAGATTTGGCTGCTGCATCTCCCTTAAGAGGTCAACTTTCTGGGGGGCACCGGTAGAAATTCCTTCTGATAGCGTCATATTTATATCTGGGAACATCGAACACGTCAATGACGGCAATAGCGGAAGAAGAGGAAGCGAAGGCGTCAAAAGCTTCTTCCTCCCTCGCGTCGGCTTCCACTAGCAAGTTCATCACTCGTTGAACTGGCTCCACGTCGATAACTGTAGAATTGATGGATTCGTGTTCAAGCTGTTCGAGGACGACTTCGATGGCTTCGTCTTGTTCGGTGAGTTCGAATCGAGTAACGAAGGAGAGGATCTCGTCGAGGGCTTCGGGTTTGATATTGTAGCCTCTGATTTTGCACTTCTTCTGAATCTTTTTCTTCGTCGGAGCATTCATCTTTTTCTCTCTCTCTCTTTTTCTATCAAAATGGTAGTTTTTTTGTTTTTATTTTGTCTGTGCTACTTGTAACAGATGCAGCAATGTTTTTTCTTGGGGATACCTTGAAGTTTCTTCAAATTAAATAACTTGGAAAAATATGCCTTGACCAACAAATACAATTTAATAATCGATATGGCCTAAGAAACAATGACTTGGAGAAAAACAAAACTCAACTCATAACTCATTAAATCTCAATATGCCTTGAGAAAAACTTACAGCCGTAAATTGCCAACCGGAAATTACTAACTGTTATTTTCCATCATGCTTAGTGTTTTGGATCTTGCGCTTTAGTTTAATCCTCATGACTCGAGCATAAATGAGCATTGTCAGTATTTCCATCATCAAACTATGTCTTGAAGGCAGACCATGTCTCCACATAAATTGTTTATACATTAAAACACATGATCATATAACTCTTCCTTAATCCAACTTCTTGAATAAATCCCCGAAATATAACTGAAGGCATACCCAACTCAAATATCATCCTGAACCTCGATGAGTCCAAATATTCACTATGCACCAAGTGAATAGGACGCATGCCCCTATCTGAAACTTGACTCCACCTGGCAACTTTTGAATTTTCTGACTATGAGGAATGGAAGGATGCATAAATGAGAAATATATACAAGTAGGACAAATTTGGGGTAGTTTATGCAATGTGATATGCTAATGCAATGAAATGAAACATAAACCAAATGGAGAAAAGGTAGGGCAAATTTTGGGATACAACAGCTGCCCCTATTCAAGCGACTTAGACCTGAATGGATGAAAAGCGAACAGCTTTCAGACGATCATGGTAAAAGGCAGTTGAATACCAAAGAGACCTGAAATTTGCCAACCGTAAAAAGAACTTCTGACATCGCCGTCAGGTTTACAATATTTTCTGACTTCGCCGTCAATTTTTCACAGAACTTTGGTAAAGCCCCTGACTTCGCCGTCATCTCTTAAAACAATCTTCTGACTTCGCCGTCATTTCCAACAGTTTTGACTTCGACGTCAATTCTTAAAATAATCTTTTGACTTCGCCGTCATTTCCAACAGTTTTGACTTCGCCGTCAATTCTTAAAATAATCTTCTGGCTTCGCCGTCATTTCCAACAGTTTTGACTTCGCCGTCAATTCTTAAAATAATCGGTAAAAGCATCTGACCTCACGGTCAGGCCTCGACATTAAGTCGGTAAAAAGATCTAACCTCGCCGTCAGTCCTCTGTTAAATACAAACAGATATTGAATCCGAAGATACGATCCCCCGACACCGCCGTCAAGACAAAATCCAACATCGCCGTTGGAAGAACCAAACTACCTGACATCGCCGCCAAGAACAAACATCTAGCATCGCTGCTAAAGAATCAAACCACTCGACCTCGCCGCCGAAAATAAACATCCAACCTCGCCGCTGAACAAATAAATCACTCTGACATCGCCGCCAGAAACAAACATTCAACCTCGCCGCTGAACAAACAAATCACTCTGACATCGCCGCCAGAAACAAACATTCAACCTCGCCACTGAACAAACAAATCGCTCTGACATTGCCGCCAGAAACAAACATTCAACCTCGCCGCTGAACAAACAAATCGCTCTGACATTGCCGCCAGAAACAAACATTCAACCTCGCCGCTGAACAAACAAATCACTCTGACATCGCCGCCAGAAACAAACATCCAACCTCGCCGCTGGGAAAACAAAGCATCTGACATCGCCGCTGGGAAAACAAAGCATCTAACATCGCCTGTCAGGAACGAACTTTCAACATCGCCGCTGAAGAGTACAATTACTTGACATCGCCGTCAAAACAAATCTTCCAACATTGTCGTTGGAGAATCAAATCACTTGACATCACCGTCAAAACTAAATCATCTGACATCGCCGTCAGAACTAACTTCTTAACATCGCCGTTGAAGAATCAAATCACTTGACATCGCCGCCAAGGCTTCGCTGAATATATGAGTAACAAGATTCAAACGAATTTAAGACCATCCATTGGTGACGACCACAAAAGAATTCTGTTGGGGAAACAACACGAGCTGGGGTATAAACAACACAACGGGCAAAGATGCTGATCGTCTGCGAGGTTTACTTGAAACAAAAGGGGTAACAACCTGGCTTATGTTTCACATGCACATGTTTGAATATGACGAAATGCTCCATGTGCAATGGAAATGTTTCGCGTTCGGGTAGATGCTATGCATGTATGTAGATGCAAATGAACCAATTTAGCAAAATAAATGCTAAAGAGAAAGAGCCAACTCTGTTGGGTCAGAGCTAGGTACGCCTAGCGCAAACAAACTCATGCTGAGGAATACAAGCCCTGGATGGCCTCTGAGAAAAACTTCTGGGTAAAACTGCTTTGCTGAGAATAAATCCACTTCGCTAGGGATCCAAATCAAACTCTGCTGCGGAAAACATCTCGGATGGCCTATCAGCCTACAACTCTTTTGGGGATCAAGCAACTTGGCCGGAAGCAACAACTCCACTCTACCGGGGAAATCAGCCGTGAATGATTAGCCGGAATAACTCTACTGGGGAAACATAACAGATTGCTGAGGAATAGCTCCATTATGTCTGAGATTGGATCCACTATTCTGCTAGGGATGTTGAATAAGATTTACTGGGAGGATTATCCCACACTCTCTCTGCTGGGGATGGAGATGAACGATCCCTCAGTCAGTTCCATTCTGGGGAAGAAAATTAATTCTGCTAACTTGGCTGTGGATTAGATAAGGAAGGAATCATCATCAACCTTTGCTTGGGGAAAGTGACAACAACTAGACAAATGTGTTATACAGCTGGCACCAAGTTTATCAATTATGACCTTATTTAAAACAAATGTCTTGATTAATAGTTAGCAAAGCCCACAAGTTTATGTATGTAAGGTTTTTCATCAAAAATAGCAGGCGTTTCTTGCAAACAAAACGGTAAAAGTTAAAACCAGAACAAAGCTTTTTCTAAATAGTATATTTTATTGATAAAAGGCCTGAAAATAGGCAACTTTACATCGGATGCAACTCCTGAAAAGAGAAAGCTGCGCAAACAGACAATTGCAAGGAAAATATACAAAAATGTCGGCAATGTGGTACAGACAAACACCATGTGATGACTCATCCATGACTCGCGTGGCTTTGACGCTTTCCGATACTTTAACTTCCGAAGAGATTGATTTGAATGGTCGATCTTCGAGTTCTCCCTAGAATCCACTATGCTTGTGATAATCAATGCGCAGGCCGCAGTCATTTGCTTTAAAATCCCTAATTTTTGCCTGAATCGCCCTTGCGGGTTTTCGATTCACCAGGATACCCATTTTTGCCAAAGTTGCCCTTTCAGGTTTTCAACTTTGCGGGTTCGCATTTTTCTTATATCCCTAATTTTTGCCCTAACCTATCTTTTTATGGTTCGCCGGGATGCCTCATTCTTGCCTGGATGCTCTTTTCCTTTCCAGCGAGCTTTCTTAAGCAAAATATTTTTTGACCGCGTCTGCGTTCACCGGGGATGTAAAATCTTCACCATCCATAGTTGAAAGTAGCAAGGCTCCTCCTGAGAAAACCTTTCGTACCACATAAGGACCCTCATAGTTAGGAGTCCATTTGCCTCTGTGATCATTCTGCGGTGGGAGAATTTGCTTTAACACCAAGTCGCCTGCCTGAAAGCTCCGAGGACGTATCTTTTTATCATAGGCGCTCTTCATCCTCTTCTGATACAAACGACCGTACGCGAGAGACGCCAATCTTTTCTCATCCATCAAACTGAGTTGATTCAACCTGTTCTTTACCCATTCTGCTTCATCTAGTTTGACATCTGCCAGTACTCTTAGAGAAGGTATCTCGACCTCCAATGGCAGAACAACTTCCATGCCATACACCAACGAGAAAGGAGTTGCCCCAGTTGAAGTACGCACCGAAGTGCGATATCCATGTAAGGCAAAGGGCAACATCTCGTGCCAATCCTTATAAGTTATCACCATCTTCTGTACTATCTTCTTAATGTTCTTGTTGGCCGCTTCCACGGCGCCATTCATTTTCGGGCGATAGGGAGAAGAATTGCGATGCTCGATTTTGAAACTCTGGCACAGTTCCTTCATCATCTTATTATTCAAATTAGAACCATTGTCAGTAATGATCCTCTCGGGTATCCCATATCGACAGATGATATCTCTTTTGATGAATCGGGCCACTACCTGCTTGGTGACATTGGCATAAGAGGCCGCTTCGACCCATTTGGTGAAATAATCAATAGCCACTAAGATAAAACGGTGTCCATTGGACGCGGTCGGCTCGATTTTTCCAATCATATCAATGCCCCACATGGAAAAAGGCCACGGCGACGACATGACATTCAAAGGACACGGCGGTACATGAATCTTGTCGGCATAAATTTGACATTTGTGGCATTTCTTGGCGTACTTGAAGCAATCTGACTCCATAGTTAACCAATAATATCCTGCCCTCAACAATTTCCGAGACATGGCATGCCCGCCTGCATGTGTTCCGAAAGCACCTTCGTGGACCTCTTCCATAAGCAAATTTGCCTCTTTTTCGTCCACGCATCTTAGTAGCACTAAGTCGTGGTTTATCCGATAGAGCGCACCGTCCGGATTCAGATAGAAATTGCCAGACAATCTTCTCAAAGTCTTCTTATCTTGGGTAGATGCCCCAGGCGGGTACTCTTGGTTCTTAAGAAAGTTCCGGATGTCATAAAACCATGGTTTACCGTCAGGAGCTTCATCTATTGCGAACACAAATGCTGGTCTATCGAGCCGCGAAATGACAATTATTGGAGCATCGTTCCAGAAGTTAACTTTGTACATCGAGGATAGAGTAGCCAAAGCATCGGCCATCTGATTCTCTGCTCTTGGCACATGGTGAAGCTCTACTCGATCGAAAAAAGGTAGCAACCTCCTTGCGTAGTTCATGTATGGGATCAGATTTGGCTGGCGCGTTTCCCACTCCCCCTTGATTTGGT